GCAATTACTGCGAAATGTGCGTCAACCTGTCGATGGACAAACTGCCTTGTGAAGATAATGCCGATGTTTTCAGCCAATCTCTGACCTGAGCAGTGATGTTCAAGCCACATAGCCTCTGACTTTGCCGCTAGCATGAACCTGGATTTCACCATGCTACGAAGCAGCATTAGCTTGCCCACGGCGGTGAACGTGTTCCGCAAGTGCATGCATCCTCTTGGATTTGGCGCACAGCAAAAACCCTGAACCCTAACACTGGGTGGTGAGGGGTCGAAAGGCGTTTTCTGCCGTGCACGCATGCTAAAACCCTGCCCATGCCCTAAACCACTAGACGCTTTGCCCGCAGAAGTAACACCCGACATCCGTACCAATCCCAAACCCTGCATTGTAAGATTTGAGATGTAAAGCCTAAACACCCAAAACACTCTGAGTTGCAGGGTTTAAGGGTGTTTGACCACCCTTGTTGGAGGAAGTCCGATGGAGGCCTCGAAGCAGAGTCGAGCTTCATCTCGGGGACGAAGGCAGGCATTTTTAAGATTCCTATAAGGTTTCCATGATGGGACTTCCAGAGTTCTGTAAGGGACTACAGGAGTTCTGAAAATGTTCCAGTGCAGTGCATCTTTTACGGTTGAAGGGCTTTCAGTAAAGTGATGTTTAAAATTCATGGCTTGTGGCCTACAGCTGAAGGCCGAAGGTTCAGGGTTGCTGTTCATGGTTCAGCGCGATATGGTCTCGGGATAGCAGTTGAACGCCTGCCTTCCGACGGTCTCGCGAAGCAGTGCTCAACAACAGCAAGAGCTACAAAACATCCGACACACCGTTACGGTTCCAAAGCTTCCGGCTCCCGCTGACACCAAACTGCCACCCCCCCCCCCCCCCCCCAGATTCCCACTACTCGTACACGTTTGGGGGTTAAATTTTGGGGGTTTACCTACGGTTTTCGTACACCACGCCCCTCTTCCTTTGGCACCCCGTTATCTATGGCGGCCCCATCATCCGTAAGTTCGCAACCCTAATCCCGGCACGATCCAATTTCGACACGAGAGGCTCGATCTTGTTTCGCAAGCCATGATACAAGAAACCTGAATTCTGCAATGGGAACCAGTACAGGTTCCCGATTGTGATTTGGTTGATTCCAATTATCGAAGCCCTTCCATGGTGAAGAAAACAGCAAGATCCGTCGAACTCAAGAAACTTTTTACAGTCCTGCAAAGCCTTACTTGCCAGCCTACTTGCTTTAGCCCCGTGAATACCCAGGCTCGCTTTGTTTTCCCTTCGAACGGAAAGCCCTGATCCACAGGAAGTTTAATGGGGGCTTTGAATGCATCCTCTAGGAGTTCTCTAAGGGCTCTGTCATGGAATGTTTTGGAGTTCAATTGCTTCGGCCCGTAATGATGAGAATAGGGTTTTCCAAGTTGTTGTGCTTAACCTATTCGGCTTGGACCTAGACCATACAAGGTGCTAAAACAGCCGGAGGCATTGCTTATCCTATTTCGAGAACTACAGGTTTTCTGTGGGGTCATATTCCCGCAGCACAATTACAGATCACTTGCCCGAAAATTACTTCACACAGCTAAAGCGCACATGCAGAATCTCCGGAAGGACGAAAAATTGTTGCCACCCTTCCCACTCATGTGCCTTGGGCTGAGGGGTTTCGGACGTAACCCTCGGTTCCAAAGCTAAACCCAAAACTTTAAAACCCGAAACCAAAAAACCCAAATGCAACCCTAAAGCCTAAACCTCCCGAAGGCGTGTGCTCCGTCGGCACTGTCGGATGCATCGGTTGCTTGGAAGGTGTGTGTGGGGCCGCGTTTCTTCAAACTACCGAGCCATCGGTTTCAATAATTTGAAAGCCACCCCCGGTACTTTCAAGAAACCCAAAACCCTAAACCAGCCCAGCCAACAATGTTGCAACGCCCTGGGCGTGCAAAAAACTAAGAACAGATTTTGTGGTATTAGAGATACGGTGAGGGTCTATGGTTTAGGGTAAAGGGTTGAGGGTTTGTCGTGTCAGGATTGCTGTACCTGCGGTTCCGGGTGCCAAACACCCAACCCAACCCGAATCCGGCACCCCGAGGCCAAGCACCATCAAGTCAACACCGGAAAGCAAGAACGAAAAGTGACCCCAGGCTTTAGGTCTTCAGCCACAAACTCGCAAGCAGCCACTAAAACTCGTGTCTTTGAAGCGCCCAAGACCCTGAGCTCTGATCCCCAAAGCCTTTATCCCACCAGAAGACCCACCCACGCCCCACACAGTCGCTCCGATGGAAGTAGTAATGTAGGAACCTGATTAAGAACCCCTGGCTCTGTATTAGGGTTCTTAATATGAGCCCAAATATATTGGGTTTATGGGGCCAGGGTTTCTTAATCAGGTTCCTACATTAGAAGGCCTGATGGGGCCAGGCACCTGGTTTAGAAGTCTGGGAAAGTCCATTGGTCTAGGCTCCTTCTGATAATTGCGCCTGCCCCAAAGCCTTGTTGAAAATTTATTAAGGCCATGGCAGATTCAGGCCTTGTGGCCTTAAAGCTGACTTCCTGAATCCCTAAACCTCACGAGCATTTTGAGAATTCGGCTCGGCCAGACCACCTCTAAAGCTCAAACCTACGCTCTCAAAACTTCAAAAGTCTGAACGCTTGCCCCTAAGCCATAAAGCCTCAAAAATCGGAACCCCCGAAACCTTAAACCCTAAACCCTAAACCCCCAAGCCCCAAGCTCCAAAAGCCCCAAACCCCCAAACATGAAGCACTTCGCGCACGTCTCCCGCAGAGCGCCTCCCTGTCGGCACTTCGCGCCTGCGATGCGGGGAGGCCTCCGTCAAGGGTAGTTTAGGGTTTAGGGTTTAGGGGGTAGGGGTGATGGCCCACAGGAAGATGTTCGGGGTATAATATAGGGGCTTAAATAATTAGCAATATTGTTTTTGAGGCTACTGATTAATTTCCCCAGAACCATGTTCTCATTATCAAGGCCCCTACATTATAGGACTTGCGGGATTTGGGCGAAAGATGGATCAGGTGCGCGTGTCGGGGCAAGGATTTAGGTTTTCGGAGCTTGGAGGAGAACGAAACACAAGGTTTATTGGAAGGCTGCTATAAGGTGATTTCCACAGGAAGACCTTTGTAGGTTCTTGAGAGCATCATTGTCAAAATCCTAAATCCCCAACGCTTGTTATGGAGCATAACAATCTCCATCCTACTCGGTCATGACAGGCTTTCCGTCTGAGCTAAATCGCTTTGTCCATGCAGAAGCAGCATGAGGAGCTTCAATGACAAAACCTACGCCTAGACCCTGCGCCCTATGCCCTAATCCATAAGCCTAAGCCCTATTCCCTAATCCATAAGCCTAAGCCCTATGCCCTAATCCAGAAGCCCTGATCGTAGACCCTGAGACGCTAATTACATCTCGAAAGTCAACCTTAAATCCTAAAGCCAAAACCCCTTGCAACCTTAAAGCCCTACATCCTAAACAGCCTAGACTGGCAGAAACCCTGAACCCGAAACCCTTGCAACCCTAAATCCTCAATTCTAAAGCCTAATGTAGGCGCCTTAACAATTAGAATAGGGTTTTGGGACCCCTTATACTATTATTATAATAGGGAATCCCCAAATTGTTTCGGCAATTATTAAGGCCCCTAATTAAACCGTTTCTTCTCGTTCGCTGAGCCGGTCTTCAGCTCTGACTGCAGGAGCGACGACTGCCCAGAGCTGAGGCGCGCCCTCCGTCCCTTTGCCGCAAGGGGCCTTAGCAATTAGAGTCCTAATAAGGAACCCCCAAAACCTTATTCTAATTGTTAAGGCCCCTACATATGTATATATTTTTGCGTTGGGATGCTTTGTCTGAGGAGAGTGTATATATATATATATATTATTAATGTAAGCTGTAATGTGCCAACACCTATCCTAACCATGAAGGCACATCTATTAAGTCGCTCGAGTTTTAAAGTTCCCAACTCCCGTTTAACGCTTCTCAAACCGCCTCCTGTGGGAGGTGTACTAGGGTTTAGGGTTTAGGGTTATGTTCTTTGGGGTCTTTAGGGCCCACAACATGTAAAATCAGGGTATCGATTCTGCTTAAGACCTGCAGAGAACCCAAAAAAATTCTACACCCAAGACGCGAATATGGCTACTCCCCGCAGCGAAGGAACATGGCAGTTTGCTATTGGAGCGCTCCAGCGGGCGACCGTTCCCCGGCAGCCAGCCGCCACCAGAAAAGGAGACCTGATATAGGGGCCTTAATAATTAGCATAGGGCTTGGGGGTATAGTATACTGTAATTCTAATAAGGAGCCCCCAAAACCCTATTCTAGTTACGAACACGAGGCTACGAGGGTTCTTTCAAGGTTGCTTGAGGGTCCCTTATTCTCACTATTAAAGTAAGGGTTGTTTAAGGGCTTCTGCAACGGTTCACTAGAACTTTTGTGAGGTAGGGGTTGTTTAAAGGCTTCTGCGACGGTTCACTAGAACTTTTGGTCTCGGAGGGGGGTGGATTCTGCTTCAAACTTTCCAGGCTTCCGGGGTTTAGTGTTTGAGGGTCGAGCGGTTTCGACTCGCACTCTCGCACAAGCAGGCACGGCCTCGGGCGGTTTAGAGGCTTAGGGTGCCTAGGCTTTAAGGTTTCAGTGCTTAGGGGAATGAGGGGCTTATAGTGTGGGAGGTTCGGGAGGCCGTGGAAAGATTTGATGCTTGTTGGGCTCTTCATCATTTTGAAGGTATGTGAATGTTTTTCAGCCGCCCTCCAGCCCAAGTACAAACAATCTTCGTGAGGTTTCTCCGCGAGGGTAACGATAAGCATAATACCAATAACCGTCTCGACTTATATCGGGCGGGAGATCAATGCCCCGAAGCCTGTGGACACCGATACAGGCCCCGGCGACTCGTCCTGACAATTGCGGATTTCGTTTTTCCGTTATCGAAGCATTGGGGCCGACCTTGAAACAAACAAGAAGTGCTGTGCATGGGAAGGGGACTTGAAAGTCTTAAAATCCTTCGCATCCCAAATTCTGAACCCTAAACTCCCCAAGTGCCGTGTCCCCCAGCCCTCCCGGAGACCCAAAGCTCCTGCATGGTTGGGCGGTGGTAGAGGCGCCGCGCGATCGCATCCATCATCTTCGGCCGCCAGTCGCCAAGCCTGCGAAAAGGAAATCTTCCACATACCACAAACCTTACATGCTTTAGTTAGAACTACAACAAAGGATGAGAGGAGGAAGAAGTAGAGACATAATGGCGGCATTCGCCTTCCTGGTCTCCATGGGTCAGCCTCCAAAGTCAGTTTGAACGGCCGGCTTTCATCGTCGTCGTCCTCTTCAAGAGTCCTTCGCCTGTTCCTGATGGTGCTGGCCTCGTTCTCGTCCTCCGCGTTCTCTCATCTTGTCATACACAGCTAACTTAGTCGGCGGCAAAGCAAGTAGAATTTGCTAATGTAGGGGCCTTAATAATTACAGCAGGGTTTTGGGGTTATATTGTAATATAACAAGTATAGTACGGGACACCCAAAACAATAGAGGTATAATCATTAAGGCCCCCAGTTTTTACGCATGGAAACTTCGTAAGCCGTAAGCTCATTCGAGCCTGACTCTGAGCTCTCGCGGAAATTCAGACCCAAACCCTACCTCAACCCCAAATAACCTACCTGTTTTGAGGACTTATATAAAGAAATCATAGGAACCCTGAAAAGGTCGGTTCTTTAGGGTCCAGGTAAACCTTGAACTCTAAACCCCTCACCTTAATCCTTGGTTGGGAGCCGTCTAATCGCCGAGCGAATACAGCCCGCATGACCGATTCCAACCCCAAGCGCTTAGCCCTAAAGCCCCTTAGAAACCCTGAAGTCTAGGCCCCAAGTCCAAACCCTAGGTGCCCTTTCTTCTGAGGCTCTGGTGGTGGGAGCCCAACCCACAGAATCCCCATATCGCGGCACCTTGGAGTTCTGGGATTTATGGCGAGAAATAAAGCCGGGAATCAGGTCTTCGGGTAGATTAAGCAATGTTCCGACCTCTATAATTATGAGTCTCTCCCGGAGTCCTCTCTCTCTCTCTCTCTGTCCATTCTCAACGGAACTCGAATCGCTTGTGCCTCGTTGCAGGCGGTCTTGCGACAGTTGAAGATGTCAAGTGCAGCAAACCCGCCAATGAAAAGCACACCCTTTTTTGAGCAGGGGCTGCAATGCACGAAGCCCTGAATCCCTTCAGCCAAGCAAAGCACACCCTAAACTCCTAAACCCCCAAAAATACTTTTTGAGAACTTAACCGCAAATCGCCGCTTACATCCAAAAGCTTAGCGCCCACCCTTACACATCAGCACACTCCTGATTAATCACCTGCAAGAAACCAACAACGTTAAAGGCTAGACCCCCCAAAACCTTCAACTAACACCGAAAGCCTACCCAAGGCCTGGCAAAGGCCACGGCAATCATTGGCAAGTCCACGACCGCACTCCGCACGGACATGGGCTTCGCCTCTCTATTTGACAACTATCGTAGAAGGGTTTTGAAAATAAGTGTACACAAACGAATACATCGTGCACACACATACATTCAGCTATAAACGTGCCTTTACACAGAGTCGATCTTCTCACCGCCATATAATCATAGTAGTAGCTGACTAGTTTGTGATGTTCTCGGGGAAGCTGCTTGTGAAGCCAGCTGTGAAGCTCGTGGTTCAAGCTTTGGGCTTTCGATGCGTGAGCCTGTGCAGTTGGCTTTCGGATTGCTTTTTGCCTATATGTTTTTCGCCAGACACACCCTGCATGCCACCCTACCCTAACCCCCAAACCCCTAAACCCAAAGCTAGAAACCCTAAATCCTAAACCCCTAAACCCAAAGCTAGAAACCAATGAACAACACCGGAAGAGGGCTTTTGCCGGGTGTAGGGGGCAAGCTGAATGCAGAAGCAGCCCGCCCTGCAACAAAGGGACCAGGGTCTTAGGGTTTAGGGGTTTAGAGTGTAGGGGCTTAGGATTTAGCGGTTCAGGGTGTAGGGGCTCAGGGTGTATCAGGGGTGTAAGCAGGGTTTAGGGTTTAGAAGTTTTGTTCTCCAATAAAACATCTGAGCCCTGAGGATGCAAGCGAGCTGCTTTCTAAGGGAGGACCCTCCCTACACCCGAGATCCTGAACTTCATAAGGCCTCCATACATGTATGTCCTTAACCTCAATTTCCTCAACGCCTGTGACCTAGCACACTTTCAATCCATACTTAAGAACCCTAAGTCATTTCCTCAAGAGTTCCCCGTGCCACTACCCTGACCTCACGGATGACCCACTTCTCGATGGCATCTAAGAGCCTCGTTCGGCTCACAAACGGCTGAGTGTAGTGGCGGTAAGAGTTTGTTCAGCCTTTCTTGCGTGCGGGGAGGATACTTTCCAATAGTATGACATGTATATGTACCCCCCCAAAATCTTATTCCATAACTTGCGACGAACCTCTTTACAATTAGTGTAGAATGTGGGGAATGTTAAGGGACAAGAAATTGCAACTAGCCATCCGGACTATACGTGGATACGACGTGACTTCGTGTTCCGACACCTATGTTGGGACTCAGGACTCCGATCGCTTAGGGTTCAGGGCGTGGCGCATTAAGGATTTCGCAGCGCGTTTACGGCATGACGGCATGCTTTAAAAGGCTTATCCTTTAAAAGGCTTATCTTCCGGGCGATTACTGCTCCAGTCTTCGCACCCACATCTCCAACCCCACGCGTTGATACAATGACGAAACTTCCTCCCTGATCCATTCCCACCAACCTCCGCCCTCCCGGTCCCTTCCTTGACGTGGCATCCCCGGAGCTGGCGAACACGGCCTCCTAAAAGCTTCAAGGGCCTGTTTTCAACACGCCTTAAACCATGACGGACCTTCTTCCGATATCCAGAGACACTGAATTTGTGGCGCTTGGTTTAGAGGAGTAGAGTCTACGACTGCGGTAGACTGGGGGTAGAGCAAAGACCCCAAACCCAAAGCACAGAGTCTCCAACTCCCAGACCCTTTTGAGCCTAACCGAACCCCCAAAGCACCGAATGTGGGCGCCCTTAATAAGTAGAATAAGATGTTGGGCTCCTTTGTAGTCTAATTATAACAAAGGAACCCCCCAGAAATAGTATGGGTCATTATTCAGGCTCCTACGTTAACCCCCTAACCCCTGACGTAGACCCTTGATGAATAACCCCGTTCCCGAATCCAACTCTAAACCCCTTAACAAATTTAACGCACAAAGACACACACACACACACACACGCACACACACCTGCACCTCCGAATCCTGAAGAACCCCTAGACCCCGAGGATTGAAAGCTGAGAAAAGTCTAGCTGCTCTCCGGCTTCCTCTCTGGATTCCCGCGCGCCCAGACCCCATGCGACCTCCCAGGATTGCGGAGTGTCGTGTTTTATAAGAGTCGAAACGGCTTTGGGCTCGAAGAATCCCCCCTACCTCTGCCAAGCGCAAGACCGTTTTGGGACATGAAGTGGGCACAGGATTCTTGGAGATCTCTACTGCAGACTTTCAACTAAGAGGAGGAACCACAGCAACCCGCCGCCACCTGCGCAATGTCCATGCCGGAGAACCTCGAAGAAGTGAAAACCGTGTTTCTTTAAAGCACGGGCCGAAGATTGTTCTGAGGCCTGAAGGCTCAAGGACTGATGTTTAAGGCTTGGCGGGAGCTCGAAACAAAATTATTTCATCACGAGGGCTCCTCATTGTTAAGACACGCCGGTACGAAGCAGACGCAGGACTTTGGCCGACGCGCTTTTCTAACATGAATGGTTGTCTGTACTTTGAGGCCGTCTTGTCATCGATATATCCTGAGACGCCCACGTCCAAAACTCTAAAGAGCTGGACCCTCAAGGAGCTTCTGTGAAAAGCCTGACCTCAAGCCCTACAGCCTTCACGATTCAACAAAGCTCAACCATACTTCGTAAAGCACGAAGCGCTCGAACATAAACGCCTGAGGTTTCGAACAACTCACGAGCTCCTTTACGAGCTATAGTGGTGCAAACGCATACCAACTTTAGTAGGGATGATGAGAGCATCATGACAAAACACTTACGAGTAAGGTATAAAAAATCCCTCAAAACTTGAAACCATACATCCCAAACTTCCAAGAGTTTTTAACAAATGAACGTGCCGCCGATCACTTCAAGCAAGGCAGCCGGCCCAGCTGAAGAGGAATCGCCTGCGCGCAGGCCCGAATGGCTTCCACGGCCTCCTTTTCGTCACCCAGATTCCTAGCACAGGGAAGCGGGTTGTGAGTTTAGTGCTTCCAAGCTTTTCGGGCTGTGGGGGTTGTACTACGTAGATCATAAATAATCCGAAGATATTAGTGTAAGAAGCCCTGAGGCCATACTTTCGCACTGTTCCAATCAAGACACTAGGGTTTCGGTTGCGTCGCAGCACAAAACTATAGCTGCTCGATATTAAGATCCACCGAAAACAAGCGAAAGTGCCAAACATGTTCTGTTCTACTCCAGCTCCCTTACATGCTCACTTAAAAAACCTGAAGTCCGAAGAGTGTCCTGCAGTCTATGGACCAAGGCTTCTGCTGAGCATGCACTATACCTATGTTTTCATATAGCAAGGAACCCAAGGAGAATAATCGCTTTCTGCTTGTTCAAGCACATATTATCAAACCGAGCCAAGGTGACAGCACTCCGAGGCCGTAGACGGTGTGTGCGAAAGATTGGGGCGTCATCGTGGCCGCGTGCCTTGGTCACCAGGCGGAAGGGAAGGACAAGTTTACCCGTAGGCCCTATAGTAGTTCCTTTTGGGGTTCATATTTAGAATCCGAAAAGGTAATCCCAAAAAGGAAGTACTATGGGGCCTATGGGTAAAGTGAGGGCAAAGCGCACCATGGATTTACCATGGCATGATCCCGCATGACTTTCGGCTTGTGCTACGCAGCTGGAGTCTGAGACTAGGGGCTATACACAAATCAGGCCGCGAGACTGTATGCACATCAACATCGGTGTGGACGCATCAATTCGAAAATGTTCATCAGCAGCGGAATTTGGCATGAGCACGCAGTCCAAGACTTCATGCTGGATTTTGAGCAATCCGGGACAACAAGTGGATACAGACGCCACAAGCTTGGGCACGTGTCACCAACCGCGAACTACACGCTGGCGTCTCGGCAAATGCAAACATGCACTCAGACACACCAGCAAACGCAAAAGGCAACACCTCTCCGGTTTTCAAGTGTGTGCTTGCAAAACCCAGCGGCGGTTTCACCTTCAACATCCACCCTAAAGTATTCCGTACAGTAACTTTTACTATAAAGCCCAAGCCCGCGAACACTGAATAGGGTGCCCAGTTTCTCTGGCACCCACTTTGCCAGCGGTACCCCGAGGATCTCGCCAATCCTCGTGCTTCTGATCGGAAGGGGTTGAAGTTCGGGTCTATAGGGTTTGGGAGTACAGGGTGTTTGTTCAGGTGAGGGGAGGACAGCAGCTCGAACAGATGTCTCGTTTTGAGGGGGATGCCCTGTTGTAAACAAATGCGGATGCCCTAAACCCTAAACCCCTAAACCCTTAAGACAATGACACTAGAAGTCCTCCTTATCATCTTAAGGCCGGCAAACCCACAAAGCCTAAATGTTGAACCACAAACCCCCAATCCCCAAACCACACACACCAAAACACTGAAGCCCCCAAGCCAAAACCCCAAAGCCTAAATCCCTAAACCCCAAAAAGTCATATTGGTTAACCCCTATAAACTCGCGCTCTCTCTGCCTTAAAACCTAAACCCTAAAACCTGCTGTAGTCCAAACCGGAAACCTCGGCAAAAAAGGCACCCGAGGCACCAGGGAAGCTCCGTGCGCAAGGAGGCAGCGGCCATGAGCCTCGAGATCTGCTTCTTCAGTTGTTCTTGTTATTTGTTGTGAAGTGCTACTATTACTATAATACTTATTATTGATGCCATTATAACAAATATTACTACTAGGAAAAATTCCTACTATCATAATAAGAAGTATTAAAATTATTGTTAAGTAATCTTCTTCTTCTAAAATGGATTTTGGTTTATAAGGGTTGGGCTTGTGTTTGAAGGGCGCGTGCTTTGTAATTTGGAGGGTGTTTTTGTGCATAAGTCTCCGTAAGGCTTTATTGTAACTTGAGAAGCCTTCTTGATAGGTTTCTATCATTCTGACTCTATGAGGTGCTTACTCTACTCGCAACCCGACAGACGACCATGGTTCAGAACATCCTGTGCCAAAAGTGTTCAGTCATGTAGGGCCCAAAGTATACTGACTCACAGGAATCAGGCGCGCATGCAAAGCAAGTGTCCCATGCGTTGCGAGTCGCACACGAGATCTATCCCAGAAATCGAGAGTAACATCATAGGAAGGGAAGTAGGGGTCCCTTACGCAGGTCCCTTAGCTTCCTAGACTTCCACTTGAGGTTTACCTAAGCCCCAAATAAACTCCGAGATCTTCTGGTGGTGGGCACTGTAGTCGATGCGGAACCTCTCAATCGCGATCGTCCTCAACCTGTTCTTCCAAAACAGACCAACCCGGAGCCCACCCTACATAGACCCTACCCATAGGCCCCACAGTAGTTCCTTTTTGGGGTTCATGTTTGGAATCCTACGAAGGTAATCCCAAAAAGGAACTACTATGGGGCCTATGGACCGGAGCCCCGGCCGAGCAGCATGCTCGCAGTTTCGCGTGGGCGGAACTCCCGCCGGTCAGCCACCCGAGCCGCTTGCTTTGCCATCTCCACCTGGTGGTCCCAGATTTTTGTGCAGACGATAGACATGGAAGTTTCTGAAAACTAGAGGCTCCTTTGTTTAGGGGGTGCCTGGCCCTCAACTATTCTCTGATCCGAATGCGACCCTGAGCTGCGAAGCCAAAGCGTTCAGCATCCTTACTTCTTCGATGCTGATACCAACTCTACAGTAGAAATTGTTTCGACAACCTTCCAGCTACCCCCGCCATGAGGGATCCATCTTGAGGGAACCATTCAATTCTCCGGGAGGTTGGAAATGAGTTTGCAGCGAATACAACGTGTCCTTCCTGTTCTACCACGAACCCTCTAAGTCACATATTCAACCAAAAAAGTTCTCAAGCAAATCCCAAGCCGCGAGCGTGGGGCTCTTTCGGATCCGGTCGCTGAAGGGCGCCGCCTTCTTTTTCAAGGCCGCCAACTTGGTAAAGGCCGCAACCAGGTGAATGTGATTCAGCCTTGGCTGCTCGGGTCTTGGGATGAGAGATTGTGGAAGCACAGTGCGGCATCGGAAGCGAGCTAAACCGATTCTTCCGTCTGAAGATACTGTTTGTTGACCTGAAGAGCGGTCTGCTACAATGTGCATCGAAGAGAGAAGGCTTTTGATACACATTTAGCCAGAGAAGCATCGTCTCGTCCATGGCCGTCCACATCACCCACATGAACTCCTCCGGACTTCCAGTCCGCTTGATGAAAGTCGTCAGAGTAACTGGACTCTTGATCTGTTCTCTGAATCTTTGCTCCCTCTCCTCCTTTGTCAGATTAGCAGCTTCCTCCTCCTCTTCCACTCTTGCCTTAAAGGTCCTCCTGGGACCTCCCCGGCTTAGCGTGCTGCTTTCCTTGAAGCCGGGCCTTTGGCCTGACCTCTGCCTGGGCTCCCGGTACTGAACGAAGCTGTCCTCCTCCGGCCTTCGGACTCGGAGGTCCGCTGCAGAGATGCCGCCGCGCTGCGCGAAGGGATCCTCTGCGTGGCAGGCCACGTCAGGGTGCCGAGTCTCTCCGTGTCTTGCAGACAGGACCGGCCGAAAGGTCCCAGAGAGAGTGAACGTAAGACTTCGCGTTGCCCAGGCTAGAGCGGCCAAGCCAAGCCAGCACACCAAAGGGCCCAAAGATCCCAAGCCGCGGCGATGCGACGCCATCTCAGGAGTCTGACAAGGCGTTGGAGGTGAACTTTTTGTGTCAATGCCCGTAGTGTAGCCACGGCTTGCTTGTCGTTGCCAGTAGATTAACAAACGAAAGCTCTAGGGTAAAACATGGTGAATCTATGTGATGCTGCTCAGTGGTGGTGCAAGTGGGGCTCGCCGACTGCTTCCCTAAACCCTAAACTCCTGATATCGGGCAGCTTCTGACTTCCATCTGCTAGAACTGTCCCATGCTGCAGGATGTAGCAAGGTGGCTGTGGGCCTCGCTTGAAAGACTCGGTCGAGGCCCCAGCAAGTCCCAAAACACGCTGTGAAGTCACCCCGATCTTCTCGAGCAGTTAAACCGACATGAACATGTGGCTGATTTTCATGCATGTGCCTCCAAAGCTTCCTCCAAGTAGCCTCCTCTCTCGAATTCCTAAGAGGCGAGACTATGAAAACCCTTGCAAGAAGTGCAAGTCTGCTCTTTCGTCTGCCTTCTGTGGGGTCCTACGGTTCTACGACAACTCGGCCGACTCTTTCGTCAGGCCCTAGCTAGACACCTCAGAAATCTCTCGGTCCGCTAATCGAAACGGTGGGTGTTGCAGATGTGATGACATCAATCAGAGTAGCAGGGGCAACGGGCGACGGGAGTGACGCTGGATGTTGGGCCGGCGTGGCGACGAGTGGTAGTACAGGCCTGCTTCGTGGTGACGACGGAAGCAAGTGCAATACAAGGCCAGGTAAGAAGATGTTGTCGTAGTAGTCGTCGGTACTGATGTCCGAGTAGCAGTAGCATGCAATGGCAGCAGGAGATCAGCAAAAAGGACCGCAGTAGCACCTGGCTGACATAGTGTTTATATCCATATGCGTATAATATATATATATATATATGCACAGATAGATAGATAGATAGATAGATAGATAGATGGATAGATAGATAGATAGATAGATGGATAGATAGACAGATAGATAAATATATTCATATACATATTCCTTCGAGTGCGACTCAACCGACCGAGGCGGTATTGGGTCTTGAAGCACACGCTTCTGCGACAGACAAGGGCGCGATCAGAGCTGGGAGCGTCAGGTGACACACGCGCACACAAACCACGTAGGTAAGAGACATCTCCAATCGAAAACCCTGCAAACCCATACACACACTATACGTAAACCCAGACCTGCTCCCATGCCACCACACGCTCTCATTCGTCTATCACAATACAAGAAAACATCCACGCAAAGGACCGGCCGGGCCCGCCAGGGATGGTAAATGATGGTCGTCGTGTTTAGGGCGTCAGTGTTGCACGATTAACCTTGGGTTTATCGTTTAGGGCTTAAGGCTGTAGAAAGTTGAACTTGGGGCAGTCTTCCTCCTCCTGGCTGTAGCAGACCCTGCCGGGCAGAAGCGACATCAGCAGGTGAAAACATGAGCTGGAGTGTCAGAAAACAGGAGAGCCCAATACATGCCCTAAGCAATCTAACAAGACCCGATATAAACCTTCCATGGAACCCAGTACAAACCCCTTCACATCCGCATATAAACCCGTTCAATGCCTATCTCGACCCCTGTAGAATCGTCAATAAAGGACACAAGCCGAGGACCCAACCCTCAACCCCCAAATGCGAGCCACCAGCTATAAACAATGCCGGAGGCCTAAACCCTAAACCCTGAACCCTGAAACCCTTAACCCTAAAACCCTAAAGCCCTGAACCCTGAACCCTAAACCCTAAACCCTGAACCCTAAACCCTGAACCCTAAAACCCTAAAACCCTGAACTCTTCAACCTGGAGGGGCAGCTCCACTGCTTCAAGAAACCTCCGAGAGCCGGTGGGCCGCCTCTGAGTCCGGCAGATGCCGGGGCTTTTTGGTTTAGGGTTTAGGGCTT